CCATCCACCCACCCACCCATCCATCCATCCACCAACCCACCCACCCATCACCCATACCTCACCCATCCACTCACCCACCCTATGCATCCCCCACCCATTCACCAATCCTCATCCACCCACCCACCCAGCCATCCACCCATCCACCCATCCATCCATCCATCCATCCACCCACCCACCCATCCATCCATCCATCCATCCATCCATCCATCCATCCATCCATCCATCCATCCATCCACTCACCCATCCATCCATCTCTTCGCACTTCTGGGCAGTGCTGACTCAGCCTCCCATCCCTGCCAGGTGAGAGGCTGACAGAGGATGAGGTGGAGAAATTGATGGCCGGACAGGAGGACTCCAATGGCTGCATCAATTACGAAGGTGGGCTCAGCGGGTTGGGGGCTCCCCTGAGGAGCAGGCTTATGGGGTCCCTACTTCCAGCCTTTAGCTGCCTAGTCGGACCCCCTGACCCTCACTTTCTCTTTCCTTCCAGCTTTCGTGAAGCATATTATGGCCAGCTGAGCTTCCCCCAGGTGAGAGACCCCTACTTCTTGACCATACCCCACACCCCCATGACCTCCCACCACCCCAGCCCTTGAGCAATGTACTCCCCAGCCTCCATGCCCGGTAACCCGCGGCTGCCTTTGGCTCAGGGAGCCGAGGGGACACCAAGCTGGGAACATCTCCTCTCCTCTCCTGTCTGCGATGCGGACACTGGCGTCATGAAGAGGACCAGACTCCTGCATGCGCCCTGAGATCAGATCTCCATGAGAGGATGACAGCGCTCCTCCCGCCCGCCCAGCGACCTGTGCTGCCCGCACTGCCCGTGTCCACCCCGGCCCAGCAATAAACGCACTTGCCGCCTCTCTCCCGCCCTCCCTCGCTTCCTTCCTCCTTCCCTCCCTCCCTCTCTCTCTCTTCTTTCTCTCTTTCTTTCTTTCTTTCTCTCTCCTTTCTTTCCTTTCTCTTTCTCTCTTCTCTCTTTCTTTTCTCTTTCTCTCTCTTTCCCCCTCCCTCCTTCCCTCTCTCCCTCCCTGCCTCTCTCCCTCCCTGCCTCTCTCCCTCCCTCCCTCCTTTCCTTCCTTCCTTCCTTCCTTCCTCTTGCCTTCCCTCTATTCTCTTTCTCCTTCTCTTTTCTCTCTCCTTCCTTCTTTCCTCCTCTTTCTCTTTTTCTCTTCTTCATTCCTTCATTTCTCTTTCTTTCTCCCTTCCTTCTTTCCTCCTTCCCTCCTTTCTTTTCTCTTTCTCCCTCCCTCCTTTTCTTCCTTCCTTCATCCCTCCTTCCCTCCTTCTCTCTCTTTCTCTTTTCTTTCCTCCCTTCCTTCCTTCTTTTTTCTTTCTTTTCTCCCTTCCTTCCTTCCTTCCTCTCTCCCTCCCTCCTTTTCTCTTTCTCTTTCTCTGTCTCTCCTTCCTTCCTCCCTCCCTCCTTCTCTACTTCCTTCCTTTCTCCTTCCTTCCTTCCTTCCTGTCTTCCTTCCTTCCTTCCTGTCTTCCTTTCTTTCTTTCTTCCTTTTCATCTTTTCTCATGCTGGTCCTGGGGTTTGAATTTACACTGCTCCTGAATTTCTTTTTGCTCAAGGCTGGCACTCTCTCACTTTATAGATCCATTTCCCACTTTTTTGGTGGTTAATTAGAGATTAGAATCTCTCCAACTTTCCTGCCTGGGCTGGCTTCAAATCATGATCCTCAGATCTCAGCCTCCTCCGTTGCTAGGATCACAGGATGACACTCTACCACTTGAGCCATGTCTCCACTTCTGGCTTTTGGCTGGTTCATGGCGGACATGAAGTCTTCCTGGATTTTTTTTTTCCCTGCCCAGGCTGGCTTCAAACTATGATCCTTAGAGCTCAGCCTCCTGCGGAGTTAGAAACACACACACACATGTGGTAGCCACAGACCCCTGACCAGAGTGTATGTATTCGTGCTTGCCCCTGTGTTTGCATACATTCTCATGAGCGTGTGCTCTTGTGTACATGTGTGCAATACAGACATAGCAGGCTTTGTGGATATGTAGGGATGTGTGTGTGTGTGCTACTAAGCTGGGCATGCATGCACATGTGTTGGTGTGTGTGTGTGTGTGTGTGTGTTGGTGTGTGTGTGTGCGTGCGTGCGTGTGCTCTTGGGTTCTGAGCATGGATGTGTTGTTGGGGGTGGGGTGGGGACTGCTGAGTCAGCCCCCATGTTAGGCCAGCAGTAACTGGCAGCCAATCTGTGGGCTCTCCACAGATGGATAAACACTGGTCCCAGCTCCAATCTCAACCAGGGTGGTCCAGCCTGGGGCCCGGCTGCTGGTGGGAAGGGATGGGACAGGGCGTTTGGGTTGGGGCGGGTCCCTGGGCTTCACTTCCGGTTTGGTCTCTTGAGTTCATCCTTTTCTTTGCTTGTTTGCTTTTTCTTTTCTTTAGGCCAGTCCTGGGGACTTGAACTCAGGGCCTGAGGGCTGTCCCTGAGCTTTTGTACTCAAGGCTGGTGCTCTACCATTTGAGCTATACCTTTACTTCTGGCTTTTTTTTTTTTTGCTCTTTTTTGCTGGTTCATTGAAGAGAAGAGTCTCATGGACTTTTCCTGCCTGGGCTGGCTTCGAACTGTGTTCCTCAGATCTCAGCCTTCTGAGTAAAAAGGACTAGCTTTTGAGGTTCCCCCCCACTAAGGTGACAAGAATAGCTTCTTTCTGGTGCTGCTTCAAGCTGAACCAGAAAGTCAATAGGAGAGTTTAACTTTAGGACGCCCCCCAAACAAGAAGAACCTAACACCAGCATTTTAGTGACATTATGGGACCCCAATATCCCCATTGGGCCCTTGGAATGTAGTGCTTTAGGACAGAGATTTCTGGAGATTGAACCCAAAAGACAGAATAATGGGATCTGTGCCAGTAATGGGGCCTGTTACAAATTGACCTTCTACTATGATGTCCAACATAGCCACCCATGGCTCTTGGCAGCATCCTACATCTTGTGTCCTCTTTAAGATTCTTGGGGTGGGGGGAGGGTGAAAGGGGGTGGGGAGAGAGAGACAGTACTGGGACTTGAACTCAGGGCCTCTCACTATTGCTTAGCTTTTTCCTACCCATCCATCCATCCACCCATCCACCCATCCACTGGACCATCTATTCATCCATCCATCTATCCATCCACTCACACACCCATCCATCCACCCATCCTTTCATCCATCCATCTATATCCATCCATTTATTTCTCCATGCATCCACCCATCAATCTATTCATCCATCCATCCATCCATCCACCCATCCGCTGGTCCATCTGTCCACCTATCCATCTACCTATTCATTCATCCCTCCATCCATCTATCCATCCACCCACTCACCCATTCACCCATCCACCTATCCACACACCCATCCCCCATCCATCTGCCCATCCATCCATCCATTCACCTCTCCATCCCTCCACCCATTCAACTCTCCTTCCCTCCACCCAACCACCTATCCATCCATCCATTCATCCATCCATCTATCCATTTATTTCTCCATGCATCCATCCACCCATCTATTCATCCATGCATCTATCCACCCACCCATCCACCTATCCATTCATCCATTCAGCCACCCATCCACTCACCCATCCACCCATCCATTTATCCATTCATTCATCCATCCATCCATCCATCCTCACATCTACACATCTACCCAACCACCCACTTTACCCATCTATCCATCCATTCATCCAACCATCCATCCATCCACACATCCATCCACCCATTCATCCATTCACCTCTCCATCCATTCACCAATCTATCTTTCCATCCATCTATCTACCCACCCACCCATCTACTCATCTATTCATCCATCCACCTACCCATCCATCTATCCATTCACCCCTCCCTCCCTCCATTCATTTATCCACCCATGCCTCCACCCACTCATCCACGCATCTGTCCCTCTGTCAGGTAGCTCTAAGGTGCTGACAGCTCCATCTCTTTTGATGATAGGCCAGGCCAATCATCAGCCTCTCCCTGTAGGCTCAGACGAGAGAGACGGCATGTGGAAGCAATGCCTCCAATCCCTTTGTTAGAGTAGCTGAGACCTAGCAGTTTGGGGCATTTACAAACCACTGGATGGATACCCATGCCTATTTCCACTCCTGGGAACTGCAGCTAGAGCTAGGAGGGCTGGTGACAATGGCCCTTTGTTCCTTGCTTGCTTTGCAATCCCAGCCTTTGAACTCAAGGCCTCTTGAAGCCCTCTACCACGTGAGCCATGCCTCTAGCCTTCCTTTTCTTTTATTATTATTAATTAGAAATAAAGCTTCGATAATTTTGGCCTGGATTGATTCTAATGTGAGCCTCCTATCTCTGCCTCCTGAGTAGTAGCTGGGATTATAGGAATGAGCTACCTTGCTAGGCTCTCATGTATGTATGTATGTATGTATGTATGTATACATATATTTGTAGTTTTGTAGTACTGGGGATTGAACTCAAACTTTCTGGGCAAGTTCTCTATCAATTGAGCCCTATTTTCTAGATGGAGACCCCTTGTTCCAGGATGGATCTTACCCTTGATAGATATAGTGGAGATTCAGTTTGCTAGGGCTGAGAACAGATCAGGAATCCTGAAGAATCTCAACACACACACACATACACACACACACACACACACACACACACACACCCCTCCACCTCAGGAGGTGTGTGTGTGGGGGGGACAAAGGCTGGCTCTGCTACAAAGAAGGGCTCTTGAGATCCTCCATGTAGAGGTGGAGTCCGAGAGGGGTGGATAGAGGCTAAGAAGGGAGTTTGATGAGAGTTGGTTGCACGGCTTGGCAGGGATTAAGTGGAGGTACAGAGTGTTGGGGTAGAGTCTTGGTGGGTTGCTATGGAGTTCAACTTCCCCCATTCCTCCTGTGCCTTAGTTTCCCTATTGTGGCTGAGCCTGAGGCGTGGTGGAGGGGTGGGGAGTGTCGTGTTGAAAACTCTGGACTGTGTCTGGGCTTCGGTCTGGGGCCAGTCGGGAGGGAAGCGACAGCTGCTTTGAAATGTGGAGAATACTAAAATGAGGAATGTCTGAACTCAGGGGAAAAAGTCACCCCGCCCACTGGGCCTCCCACCCGGCCGGGCTGGTAATAAGTACAGGGAGGCACGTTTTTGTATGTGGGGGTGTGGGATGGGGGGGCAGAGCAAGAATGCTTCTAATGAGAAACAGGGTTCTGTGCCATCATAAGTTGACCCTGGGGCTGTCCTTGGTCCCCCAAGAGATCCCCCAACAGGCCAGGAAGGGGAGAAGGTGGGCCTGATTCTGAGGGCCCATCTCCTCCACATTACCACATTAACGAGGAGACAACTCATGAGCATGCAAGGCTGGTACTGGTTGGTGGCTCACTGCTGTAATCCCAGTGACTCAGGAAGCTGAGATCTGAGGATGGTTGTTCCAAGCTGGTGTTCCTGGGCGCTCTCTCTCTGTCTCTGTCTCTCTCTCTTTCAGTCACGGGGCTTGAACTCAGGGCCTGCATCCTGTCAAAGTGCTCAAGGCTAGCTCTCAAAGAGCCACGGCACCACTTCTGGTTTTTGAG